CAGTGTGTGAATGGGTGGATGACTGGATATGTAAAGCGCTTTGGGGTCCTTAGGGACTAGTAAAGCGCTATATAAATACAGGCCATTTACCATCTAAATACTCACCTAACCTTGATGTTGGCACCAAGGAAAACATGTAAAAACAAAGTGCATCAAGCACAGCATATTAACAGTATCAGATTTAAAGTTTGAACCTGCCTACTTTTAAAAGACCACAGATATTTGCGTACAGCACACCGCTGAGATGTTTTCATGTTTTATTAAACTTTATCTGCACTAAGAATGAGTTAATGAGCAAATTAATGGATGAATAGAAGACCCAACAAACACACAAAGGGGGTTAGTCAACAAATAAATAAACAGAAAAATGAACATGACTTTTCTGAAACTCACCTTTCACTATTAAGTGTCAATGACTGTATAAAACATTCCTCTTATTATTATGCTTTTATACAGTCTAGAATTTCCACTGTAAGTTGTTGCAGAAAAGTAAGGCAATACTGCAAGCAATTTATTAAGGCACACTTTACTATAACAGAGACAAAAGCAATGAGTGCAAAAGGATCACACAGAATACACAAGAGGGATTAATCACTCAACTCACACAGATAAATTATGTTTAGGGATATTTCAGCAGATTCTCTTTAGTACCGTATTACTCTAGCTCATTAGATTTCAAATGACACATTAACTGGGAGCTTAAATTGCTGACTCCGAGTTGCAATTTGAGGATGTTTACATGCATACTGTTTGTACTATAAACAACAATTTTCATCACATATTTACACAGGGCCAAAAGCACTCAGACAACTGGTTTCTCAAATATTTCTTAGGTATGTTAGCTTGTTAGTTGTTAACCCAGGCATAAAAATGCAAACTACGGGCACACAGATTATTATGAGGCTGAAAAACCTGAATAAATCAGATACACAGAGTACATTCTAGCATGAAGTATAAATTCAGGTTAGGCTGCAAAATCTGTGGAATAGGTTCAAAGCACAGTGACATATCGAAATACGGTATGTGCAATTGAATGAAGACTGGAAGAATAAATGAAACTTGACAAATGCAGCATTTATAAAAGGATTCACGCTAGTGCTGGAATGTGTCGTAACCTAAGATCGTTTGCTAACATATGAAAAGCAGAAGAACGAATGAGGAGGACAGTGCCAAGTGCGACAAAGCCAAAGAGGTTCATCTCTTACTCACACACACCACACAGACAAACAGACAAACACATAAACACACACACACACGCACAAACGTTCATAAACACTTCCTGGCTGCTTCCCTGCTACCCTGTCTATTAATCAAAACAACCCAGGAGGGCCTCAACCCTGACCTCTGGCACTCAGCCTTCCATTCACAGACAGACCAAAGCACGCTAACAGACACAAATTCATGCACACGATAAACTGCACTTGTCACAGACAGAAGAAAAGAAACAAAGACTACAGTGCAGAGGAGAAGAAGTGGGATAAGAAAGAAGGAGGAGGGGGTTTGCCTCCACTAAAAGTTTAGTAGGATCCAAATGAATGTTACACTGAAGAGTTGGAGGAAGTGAGTGTATGAGAGATGAGGCGATGGGGGTAAGGAGGGTGATGCTAAGAGCCACAGGGTGCATCCCACCGCTAGCTATGCCACTTTCTCGCTCACTCTCTCTCCCTCAGACAGACACACGCACACAAACGCACTTGAGAACCAAAGCCTTGTTAGCTTTTTAAAATAATCAGGCAGTTGGATGATGAATGATTTAACAGGTATGGAAGGAAGGAAGCTCAGGATGCCTTCCGTTTCTCCCCTTAGGGTCATGGGAAGAGTGACAGGCCGACAGAGGGGTTGAGCTCTGGGAATAAACACCATTCCCTTTCATTTCCCTGCTACTGCTTTTCCTGTCGAGATGGCAACGCCGCAGCCCACTAATTTGTCATCAACTGTGAGAGGCGATGACAATCTGCGACTTTCTTTTGAAAGGGGTTCGTATCAGGATGGATATAGGTTGGCTGACTATGAGCAGAGAGGATTGTTGTGCAGCTAATGCAGAATTCTGTTCATGACGTTTAAGGAGATGAATGTCTGACCATGCTCTGTGTGACACTGACTCTGATTCACAGTTTACAGTTTTTTACACTATGAAAGTAACAGAGCACCTGAGGTTAGACTTAGGTTTGAAATATATCACATTATGTCTCTCAGTTCAGTCCTACCTGAAAATGTAATACTACCCACTATAGAGCACAATTACACTAAATACCTGAAGTTTACAATGATACTTCGTATTATATGTATATAACATTATAGGCTTAATTTCAACATCAGTTCTTCTTGCACCTTATGTAAGAGCCGTCAAACTCTCTTCAGTCTCTATTTTAATTTCATATAAAGTTGTAAAACTGATAGAAATCATATAAGGTAGCATGAATGGATATCTTACCATAGCCCAACGTGATCAGCAAACACTACAAACAGTCATCAAAATTCAGAGTAAAACACACGTCAAGTTAAAATAGGCAATGAAATGCTGCCCTCTAGTGCTAATCTTTTGTCTTTGCGGTTAGGGTTATAATGAAAAGTGCAACCTTGAAAGCCTGGGGGGGTTTAGCAACTAACAACTAGCTATATTAGATTTAAACCTTTGAGATTTAGCAAATTAACAGATATGAACCAATCATAACCAGCCAATCACATGGCAATAAACATTTAGGCATGCATAGAAAATATTCTCCTCAAGTTCAAACCGAGCATCAGAATGAGGATGAAAGGTGATTTAAGTGACTTTGAACGTGGCATGGTTGTTGGTGCCAGACAGGCTGGTCTGAATATTTGAGAAACTGCTGATCCTCTGGGAATTTCCCGCATTAACCATCTCTAGAGTATACACCGAATGG